ATTTTATTACATTCAAAAGCATTCTTGGTCTGGATCAAAGTACTTTAGTTAAAGTTTGACATCTTGCTAGAGTTTGTCTTGTGCTTCATACTGTGATCATATTGTGTGTTACACCTTGATCAAACTAAAATGGTTGGTAGTACCCACAAATGTGGACAACCAAACTGCTTGTTCCCTGTGGAGGAGGGAATGCAGTGTGACGAATGCAATAAATGGTTGCACAAAATGTGCACCCGTTGAAGTCCCACTGCATATATAAAAGATGTTCGAAGCCCAACTCACATTGGCTTTGCATGTTTTGCTGTACCAACAAGGCATTGCTAATACAGGAGGCTATGAGCCTATTGGCTTTAGCCTGTAAGAAGAATGATGGCATTTGCGCCGACAACACGGGCACTGACAGTGACGAATGTGTCAGTGTTGTTACGCAACGCCTCAAACAACCGACTCTGAACGACGTGAAAGTGAAATCTCCGTTGATATTAACTGGGGGAGTAGCACCACCTAGTACTGACATTGTTAATAATGTACCTTTAGTGGGAACCGAAGATCTGGATAAAACAGTCACCGTTCCAAATAGTCCCAGTGTTATGAGGGAGGTAAAATGGACTACGGTACGTAGGAAACGAAATGAAAAGAAAAAAGCTGTAAGCAGTACACAGGTAGTTAGTAACTCACTGGTGGACTCAAATTGTGAGCCACAAGTTGCACTACCAAGATCTGATCGTAAGAGTGAAACCCATCCTAGCGTAACTGAGAACAAAAATCTAATAACATCGAATATTATTGTGAGCCAATTGCGGGAGTCAAATGACCGTGATCCGAAAATTAGACACGCGCATGACTTAGAAAAGCTAGGAGAATACATTCGTAGTATTTTACCAGATAACTCCAAAGGAGTTCAGGTTAAATAGTTGGTAAGAATAGACAAGAGGACCGAGGACAATGTTGAACCCGTTCATGCAGACTCCTTAAGGTAATCCTCGGATCGGAGAAGCAACGGGATCTCTTGTTAAGTAGCGCTCGTTGTCAAGACAATTCTGACATCCGAGTTAGACCTGACATATCTCTAGAAGATAGAATAAAAAGGAAGAAAGCACCAGCTGAACTTGAAACCCGTCGGCAAAAGGGTGAGGAAAATCTCCGGCTAGTGGGTTTTCGAATAGTCAGGTCTTGGAAGCGAATGCTACCAAGGCCTGTGTGGATAGGCTGTTCTACTTAGGAGTTTTATATGCCAACGCTCGTAGTCTACGAAATAAGTTCTATTAAATAGAAGCACTAGTGGCCAGGTTAAAGCCACTTATAGTAGCAGTGACAGAAACTTGGTTAGTCGATGACTTAGACATTACTCCAGAATTATCCGGATACCATTGCATCAGGAGTGATAGACATAGATGTAGGAAAGGAGGCGGCGTCCTGTTATACATAGCCAATAGCATAAATATCCGCTCCTCTACTAGCGAATCCCCTGATAGCGGCACTTGTGAAGTCATTAGCTGTAAGTTGGCTATGGGATGTAGTACATTTATGCTAGGTGTCATCTATCGGAGCCCAATCTGCCTAGCTGATGACTTTGTTTTAGAGCACATTCATCTTTGGAGTGAAAATACCAGATGTTTGATAATAGGAGACTTAAACGCACCTGATATTAGTTGGACTGATATGACCGCAGAAGGATCTATAAACTCCTTTGATAGTAAGTTCCTGATAACAATAATGGAGCATGCACTAGTACAGCATGTATCCCAACCCACACGTTTTGTTAACCACGGTTCTTCTCTGCTGGATTTAGTAACCACTCATGAGACTGAGAATATTGTCGACTTAAATATTCCCCCGCCGTTAGTGAACAGCGACCATGCTGTTTTGTCATTTACGTTTCGAAATAGGGACATGTTATACGATCAGGTTACACCTCACCCAAATGTATGCAAAGCTAACATATCAGCCATTCAGGAATGTGCTGCTAAGACAAATTGGTTAGTAGATACTAGCATATCAGTTGAAGAAGCATGGTCTGTATTTAAAGGTAAATTTAGACTAGTTACGTCCCCGTTCATACCATACCTGGCACCGCGAAGACCGAATAATAGTCCACCATGGATAACTAAAACGGTCAGGAAACTCCTTAGAAAAAGGAAGTTTCGTGCCTATAGGTAACCCTCGTGTTATTGATAGAAGAAGCCAGACAAAAATTGAATTAGTCTTTATTTCGATCTTAGCGCAGTCACAGTGGAGCGTGGGATTACCTGTTCAGACAAACAAAGGCTTTCAACATTCAATATAAGATAATAAGGAATATAACGATTATACAAAATAAGGAAGTGAATGAATACCTGAACAATACTGTTTTGGCATATGCTTGGTTGTTTGGGGTCAACTCTTAACCAACCAACCTATGCTGTTACAGAAGAATCACTGGGATATGTTCATCTCTACTGGCTTAGAACAATACAGATCCAGTTATTGTAAGATTAGGAATGCCTGTAAAGCGTTAATAAGTAAGACTAGACTATCATACGAAAAACAATTGGTAAGGGATTCTAGATATAGTCCGAAACGGTTATTCTCGTATATAAAAAGGCGAACTAAGAGAAATGATGGAATTCCATCACTTTTGATACGAGAAAATCCGTTAATCTTAGCAGAGAATGATGCCGAAAAAGCTGAAGCTTTATCGGAATACTTTAGTAAAGTGTTTTCTATCGGTCATGAGGAACGACCAATGATTCGTTGCGACCGTAACGGCTCGCCGATGGATCCTGTAGTCATTGAGAAAGATACTGTTTTAAGGCTACTCCAACATCTCAAACCTGATAAGTCCAGTGGTCCTGACGATATTCATCCTAGGATTATGAAAGCCATTTCACATGAAATTGCTGAACCATTAGCGATACTATTCGACATGTCTCTGAGACAGTCCAAACTGCCTAGAGACTGGAAAGACGCCATAATAAGTCCGGTGTATAAAGCTGGGGGTAGGGATTTAGTTAGTAACTATAGACCCGTTAGCTTAACTAGTGCAGTTGTAAAACTGATGGAGAAAATCATTCGGATAGCTGTTATAAACTATGTTGAAGGGCAAAATCTTTTCTCCAGGGAAAAACATGGTTTTCGGAAAGGCCTATCTTGCTTGACAAATCTTCTCATTGCACGAGAAGATTGGGCTGCGGCCAAGGATCGGAATACTCCTGTGGATGTGATTTTCATAGATCTAAGTAAAGCCTTTGATAAGGTTTCCCACTCTGGTCTTAAATTCAAACTGAAACGTTTTGGAATCCATTATACAGTCATTGATTGGATAAGTAACTTTCTCCATGACAGGAGACAAAGGGTAAGGGTTAATGGGGCTCTCTCCTCGTGGGTACCTGTAAAAAGTGGGGTTTCCCAAGGTACAATCCTGGGTTTTCCTCTCTTGTTACTTTATATAAATGAATTGTCAACTGTAGCAAAATCATCCGTTCTACTCTTCGCTGATGACATAAAGATTTGGAGACCCATACATAGTATGTCGGATAGCATAGTATTACAGGACGATCTTAGCTCATTAGTGGCATGGTTAGATAGGTGGTCACTAGAAGTAAATCCTAATAAGAGTGTAGTGATGCAGTTAAATAACTCTGATGAATCGTATGACTATACACTACGTGGATTCGTGCTACCAAATGTAAGAAACTATAAAGATTTAGGAGTCATATTAAGCAATGATCTCAAAACGACTAGTCACAGTAAGACTGCTGCTGCGAAAGGCTATAGGGTATTATGGTCAATTCGTAGGTTTTTCCAGTATTTAGATGATGAGATGTTTAGATTACTATACCCGAATTATGTGCGACCACATTTAGAATATGGGATTCAAGCAGCGTGTCCTTGTTTCAAATATGAAGCAGATATGCTAGAAAGAGTCCAACGACGAGCTACTAAGATGGTACAAGGTCTATCTGACCTATCTTATGAAGACAGACTGAGACACCTTAACTTATTTCCGTTATCTTACCGTAGAATAAGAGGTGATCTAATATTGGCCTATCGCATACTGAACGATGACTTTGGTATTAACATGTCTTATATTTCGCTCCCGTCTAGAACCGACCATTTGAGAGGACATTCGAAGAAAGTTCAAAAAACCGAGATAAAACCGTTTACGTCTGGAGTTCCGTTTCTCGCACCGAGTAGTGAATTACTGGAATTCTCTACCGGAACACGTAATATCAGCACCATCTGTTAATATATTCAAAACGAGATTGGACCTCCACAGTATTACAAACTGCAAGGATTAATATAGGTCGACAGACCTCCTATCCTTATTACTGAATACTGAATACTGGGAAAGGTACTGATTTAAAACTACTTCAGCATACCAAACCTGACAAGTTCAATGAACCTGATAATATTAATACTAGGATTATAAAAACCCTGCCCGATAAACGAGCAATTATAAGATTGCTTCTGCAAGAGGTTTTAGGGTATTATGGGCTATTCGTAAGTCTTGGGAGTAATTAGACGAAGAAATATTTAGTATTATACCCGACTTCTATAGGGTCGCATTTGGAATATGGAGTTCAAAAAGCGAGTTCTTGTTTCAAGTGTGATGCGAACATTCAGAAACAAGCCCAACGACGAGGGACTAAAATCAAGACAGACTGAGACATCGCAACTTATTTCCATTATCTTACCACAGATTACGGGTTGATCTAATATTGGCTTACCGTATACCGAGCGATGACCTTAGCATTAATATGTCTTATCTTTTACTTCCGTCTAGGTCTGATCATCTGAGAGAGCATTTTAAGAAATTTCGAAAACCGAAATCAAATCGTCTACGTCTGAAATTTTGTTTCTCTCACCGAGTAGTGGATTAACGACATTCTCTACCAAAAAACGTATTATCAGCACGTTTTGTTGATATACTCAAAACAGGATTGAACCTCTACAGTGTTTCAGACTACAAGTATTAATATAGGTCAACAGACCTACTATCTTTACTACTGAAGGCTGAAAGATGTTCAGCGCTTTGTATAAAAAGTGCGCCACAGGAAGGGGTTAATTGTAAGTAAATAATTGTGCGCATTTATTAGTCAGGATAAGGGACTTTAAAACCGCTGAATTTATATAGAGCCGTCCATAAACAATTGATATGTAATTTTAATTAACCCAATCGACCAAAAAAGCGGAATAATGTGTAAATATATGATAAACGTGCAAAACTTTTTGCCTTAAAACTCCTCTTTTGCCTTCCGTGTGCAAATAATGTCAACTTTCTCATTTTCAAATTTTCGTCTTTAGAATGCCTGTGAATGTTCGATTTTTTGCCCGTTTACCTTCATTTCCACTATGAAACAGACGCTAAAACATATATCATTTACTGTCGACTTGATTAAAAAGCCCACATGACTTGTCATTTACTGATAGAAATTATCACAGCTTATATGGAGGTTAATAATAGACATATTTAGGAAACGATTGTTGCGTATTTTCATTGTAAGTGCAAGGTTTTACGGTCATTTACGTAGACCTGTGAATGAAATTATGGGCATTAGGTTATGCTTCAAGAATGTCCTGATTTCTAATCGCATGTTAAATCAGACGCGCTCTCACAACAGACACTTAATTTATTGCAAAGTATTTCATGCAAGTAAGAAACTCAGTTAACGGTAAGAGGAGGATTTGTTAAAATCAAGTTGAACATACAAATAAGTTTCAGTCATAACGTCTTAAACTTAACTATTCTGAATCAAAACGATCCTTCTGTGAATTCTAAAACCTAATAAATAACAACCTTTAAAGCCATGTCTAACTGCCATAGTCTTTTAAACAACTACCGACCTGAAGTGAGATGGTAATGTTCGGTAATACTGAACAATTTAAATTAGCGTTAACATTTTCTGTTTTCCTCCCATGACGGTCTTGTAGTTTGTCTTTCATATTGTGAAAATACTCATGCGTCGCAATTCTAGTTTAGCAATTTCTTTTTCGGTGACGGGTGACGATAAGAACCGTGGTGTTAGTGCGTTTAATGGTTAAGCACTTTTTATCTGTTTTAAAACAAGCTTGGGGTAGAAATCCATTGGCAAAGCATAAAAAGTAGTAGTCTACTTTTTTAAATAACTAAGTAGTTATTCCATTGTTTTCCTTTCGTTTAGCTCCCTCTATACTGGCGTTTTAACTGAAAAGTGTCAGAATTTTCCCTTTACGTAATTGAAAACTGTTGTTTCCACAAATGCGATTAAAAGCATTTTCTTCACAATTATATCGCTATTACACATCTAGTTTTCTCTGGAAATTCTCAAACTATCCTAGTAGATGTTTGTATACATATCCGTCGAGAACTCGCAGAGTCCTTTGGAGTTTGGACACAATCCAGCCTAAAACTTCTTTTTGTTCAGATGCTGTAACTAACCCACAGTCAACACTGCCAGTTTCTGTCACATCAGATAACTCTGAATTGTCAGGTGATCAAGATGAAATTAAAGGAAAGATGTACATTGAATTTACATGCAAGGTAATTGGACGCATAATATTGTTATCAGGAAATCTATCTTTAGAAGTGCACTACTCGATCAAGTAAATATTTTTCTAAGTTGGCTTATGAAAAAGGCATAGTTATAATTCGTTGTGATGGGTGCCAAAGTTTACATCTAATTGCTGATAACCTGGGATGGATTAAAGACAAACATTGGTTGGTTATTCTTTCACTTTGTAAAGTTATTGTTATTAATTATAGGAAATTAGAGGATTGCGTAAAAGTTGACAAAAAATCAGTATATATAGCTTAAATGGACATTTTAAGACAGAAACCATTGTGGTCGATTTGATTAAACTTTACTTATGTAAATCTGTAATGTAAGTTTTTTATTTACTTTTTTCCGATACTAGTTTATCTGTTACGTTGAACTATAGTTTCCTAGTATAGAAATTCAACCTTGAGTTTTTCTTCGTAATGTTAGGCCATACTTTATCCACCATATAACCAAGCCATTCATTATTATACACTTGCAGTATACCTCACATTTTAGTAGGAATTTATCCAGGTTTAAAATGTCGATCTTTAGTTAATACCTAGTTTAAGCCCAGAGTTAAGGATCAGTCAATGTGGAATAACCTTTGGGTCGACAATGTGAACGGGTTCACTGCTTACCTCTAAAACTAGGATCTTGTTCTGTTGATTCATTTGATCTCTATTTAGTTATTTACTTTTTTAATGGTGAGTTATATGGCAACCTAGGATGTAGTTGTGTGATTCATATACCCATTTTTCAGTTGAGATTAGAGCATAATAAATTTTTAGTAGAAATTACTAAAAACTGATTATAACAAACATTTGCAAAGACATCTATATTATTTTCTGAAAGACTAATTTATATCCAAAAACTATTTCAACATCATTATTCACATGTACACTGTCTGTATCTTGTACTTACGTCTTTCTCATTTCAGAACGCATCATCCAACAAGATCACTCTCCTCAGTCAATGTATCTTGAACTCATGTTTACATTGTACAGTGTAAATAGAATAATGTTTGAGCTAATAATAATAATAAAATTCCTGAAAAGTTTTGCTGATTCTGAGCCATATCATTCAACGTCTTCACCATTTATTCCAGTTATCACGAGGACCCTAACCAGGCAGTCTACATTCACCGAAATATATTAGACCGACAGTCGAAGGCTTTATTGACTGATGTTATGTTTTCGGCTTGGTTGCCACTAGGTTTATTTCAACCTACCCCTATACCAAGTAAGGGGTGGTTGGGCATACATAATTCATGTCTCAATCACAGTAAATGAAGACTCGTTGCTTCAATGAACTCGCCACACGTCATCTTACCTCGAGACTGTTTATTCTGTACTCCCATGATCCATGAGTATTGCTTCAAGGACAAAATCAAAAACCTGTAGTCTACTCGTGTCTTGTTACCATAAGTCACATAGAGTAATAAACGGTGAAGCTATAATCGGCAAACTTGCCGTTCGGTCGACAAACGAATGCCTTACGCCAGAGGTAACTGGGACTGGTCAAATCCAAGGTTTCGTCAGACACCAACCCATCAGGGCTGATAAGACTTTCAAGATAAATAAAATGGTCAGACGCTTCAATCCTTATGAATGATTTAGGCAGCAGTGCAAACTATATCCGAAGCAAAGTTTTGCATCTAGAAGGGGAGGAACATTCAAATCGTGCTTGCATTTTAATTTAAGGTTGTCAGAAGATTTGGCCTTTAGTTACTTTAAATACGAGAATGTCATATACGTATTTCAGTCAGTCAGTAACAACGTAGAACTTCGTATGTACGTACATCAGTTCGAGTTGCCACACCACAGCACAGAGATGCAATGATCGATTCAAATCCTGTAGTGCTAGATGTAGTAAAATTATAAGCTGTAATCAGAAAAATTAGGGTTTGAAGATGTTATCCAAGGAGTATAATCCAGTGGAATAAGTTTGGAAAGAGAAAAAATAAAGGTACAAGAAGAACTCAGAAGATTAGAATTTGGGAGAACACAAAGAGTGGATGCACCTGCGCCATTGCAAACGATTTTAAACTATGTCATTCAAGGTCTCTAACCATCGGTTGCTATCATCTCGCGGTCCCCAACCAGGTAGTCTACACCTATCAAGATGGCTCAGACCACTTGTCAGTGATTTCATGGACTTGTGCCATGTTTTGTTCTGGTCACCCCTAGCTTTCTTCCAATCTACTCTTATACCACTGAACATCGCACGTCGAGGCAGTCGTTGGTTGGGCATACGTAACACGTGTCCCAGCCATCTTAAATGATCAAGTTTCACTACGTCATCAATTGATTTGCCATCCTTACCTAGTACCCGTTTCCTAACAACTGCATTACTCGATGGTCCCGGGGTATACGAGCAATATTTCGAAGACACCTATGATCAAATACTAGTAATCTAAAGATATCCTCTACTCTTACCGGCCATGTTTCACTGCCATAAAGTAGGATGGAACGAACTGCTGCGCAATAAACACGTCCTTTGATTGATAGACGGATATCTCGCCTACGCCATAAATGACGCAAGTTGGCAAAACCAAGCTAGTCGACTCTTCTGTATCCGTGCTGAGATTTCGTCACACACCAAACCACAAGGGCTGATGAGACTTCCAAGATAAGTGAAGCGGTCGACACGCTCAACTACTTCACTCCCTATCATTAGTTCGAGCGTCAATGCAACACAATCCTGAAGCAACATTTTGCATTTCGAGAGGAGAATCGCATGCCGAACATGCTTGCATTGTTGCTTAAAGTGGTCAGAAGACTCTGCATTTTGTCAGCGTCTTCACCAAATAGAACTATGTCATCGGCATATTCTAAGTCAACATGTGAACCTCCCGGTAGAAGTTCAACCCCTGGAAATCTAGACGAGGAAAGTGTCATTTCTAAAAGTACGTCGACGACAAAGTTGAACAAGAATGGAAAAAGTAGACAGCCCTGACGAACATTACTTGAAGTAATCAATTCTGGTGACAGTTTGCCATAAGCTCTCACTCGACCAGTTGTGTTCGAGTAGAGAGGCTGTATAAGGTTAATGTACTTTTTGGTACTCCTTTCAGTGGCAAACACTGCCATAGAACCTCACGATCGACAGAGTCGAATGCTGCTTTAAGGTCGAGAAATACTACCATTGTGGGGCATCTGAATGTGTGTCTGTGTTCTAGAACCTGACGTAGTCTGAATATCTGATCTATCCCGACCGAAGCTGCTACCTTGACGTGGTGGTCGGGCTTGCCTATCGTGATGACCCATCCGAGCTATATTGGCTGGAACATATGTTCCTGTAGGTTCTACCATGCCAGGCAGGTCGATTGGTGAACGGTAAGACTAAAAGCAGCAACTCAAAGTCTGAGGGCGAAGTCGTACTGCTGACTGTACAGAGGTGTGACAGCAGTAAGGTGTTTCCTTCGGACAATCAGCATGACAGCGATGCTGCCTTCCCACAAGGAGGGGTGGGGTTAGAAAAGGTCGACCCTAAAAATGTCACACCTCACCTTACCTCACGGATTTCCGTCTCCGGCGGTAAGGCCATCTGAAGAACGGAGCTAACACGTCAAAAACCTTCTACAAAAAGGCCGTGCGCGACCGGCCTCAAGCAGTTGTCCCTTGGGCTCTGCGGTCACGCTCCCAGGTCGTTAAGACCAACACTAATCCAATTTCCTTTTCAGGTTCCTCAAGAAATACCCTTCCACGGTGTGGGCAGCCGGGAAGTGACATCAGCCCTCATACCCGTAACAGCACGCGAGACCAAGTTGGTCACATTCAAATCCTTCCTACACCTTCTAATACCTCTCTTATCTCCATGACTAACCCTCCTCACGTCTCTTTATCACCTCGCACCGCTAGGGCAAACGATTCGAGTACGTGGAACTCTATTCCTGGTCTCCTCAAACCACGCTCTAAACTACACGTAGGAGCTTTTAACGTCCGAACACTGTGCCAAATAGGACAGCAGGCTTTCTTAGCTAGGACTTTAGAATCTCGCGCCATCGATGTGTGTTGCGTCTCCGAAACGCGCATACAGGATCCAAGTAGCATCATTCATTTGACCTCACCATGCCAAAATAAAGAACCGACTCGATTCACGCTTCGTGTATCTGGAAGCCCTGATTCTGCTTCCCGTGGCCTCGCCGGCGTAGGTATAGCATTGAGTCCTAGGGCAGAACTAGCTCTCTTAGAGTGGATCCCAGTAGACAGTCGTTTGTGCGCTGTCCGACTGAACGGAACAGTAAGAATCCGGAAAGATACGGACACTCGTCGTTGCCTCTTCGTCGTCTCTGCCTATTCTCCCACTGACTGCAGCCCAGATGATGTAAAAGATGAGTTTTACAGAAAGCTTTCGGACCTTCTCCGAAAAGCTAAGCGCTCGGATGTAGTAATAGTGGCCGGTGACTTTAATGCTCAAGTAGGTAAACTAAGCGATAGGGAAAGACACCTGGGTGGATCTTATAGTATAGTGGCTCAAAGAACAGATAATGGCGACCGTCTGTTGCAGCTATGCTCAGATAATCGCCTGTTCCTTGCAAATACTAACTTTAAGCATAAGGAAAAACATCTTTTAACATGGCGACCCCCTAATTCGTCCCAACGTTGGACCCAAATAGATCACATCGCTATCAGCCACCGATGGAGGGGCTCGATAGAAGACTGTCGCTCATTCTGGAGCACATGCCTAGATTCAGATCATGCTCTAGTACGAGCGCGTATTTGCCTGCGTCTTACTGGACGTAGGAAAACCGCTGCAAGGAAACCTCTTAGGGGCCTACTTAATGATAGTCAAGCTAAGAGTATATTTCAGGAACAACTAGGAAAACAGTTAGGCAGCCATGTATGTGATGCCCACCCCGAGGCAGCATGGAATGATATCCGAAAAGCTGTGGAAACAGCAGTGATATCTGTTAGTAAGGTAAACCAGAAGGTTAGGGAGCAACACTGGATCTCAGCAGCATCTATCGCACTGATAGATGCTCGGAAACTCATTCCACCTGGCTCTGAACATAGTGAAGAGCGGAGTCAGCTTAGGCGCAAACTAACAAGAAGTCTACGCAGTGATCGCGAACAGTGGTGGGTAGCGAAAGCAAGAGAGATGGAAAAGGCAACGGCAATAGGTAATAGCAGACAATTGTTTAGACTCGTTAAGGAAACCGGAATTAGGAACCCGACTGTTAGCGAAACAATCTCAGAGAAAGATGGACATATTATTCATTCTCAATCCAGGAGATTGGATCGATGGGCAGAACACTTTAGGGATCAGTTCAACTGGCCTTCAGCCACACTTCGGTTTCCCACGATCTCCAGTCAACCTGAATGGCAAGTTAATGTAGGTCCTCCGTCTCTTTATGAAGTTGAAAAAGCCATAGGAAATCTGAAACGAGGGAGAGCAGCAGGCCCTGACAGGTTTACTCCTGAGATTTTTAAGGATGGTGGTCCAGTATTAGCAATGAGATTAACCGAGGTCTTAGGTAGAATTTGGGAACTGGACGTAATCCCATCTGACTGGTCTCAATCACTGATTGTGCCAGTTTATAAGAAAGGACAAAAGTCCTCTTGTGACAATCACAGAGGAATCAGTTTGACTAATATAGTGTCTAAAATATTAGCTTCAATAATACTTCGACGCCTAGTCAAAGCTCGTGAAGAGCAGACTCGAGAAAATCAGGCTGGTTTTCGACCTGGACGTGGTTGTATAGATCAGATATTCACACTACGTCAGGTTCTAGAACACAGACACACGTTTAGACGCCCCACAATGGTAGTATTTCTCGACCTTAAGGCGGCATTCGACTCTGTTGATCGTAAGGTTCTATGGCAGTGTTTGTCACTGAAAGGAGTACCAAAGAAGTACATTAACCTTATAAAGGCTCTCTACTCGAACACAACTGGTAGAGTGAGAGCTTATGGCGAACTGTCATCAGAATTGATTACCTCAAGTGGTGTTCGTCAGGGCTGTCCACTCTCCCCATTCTTGTTCAACTTTGTGGTCGACGTACTTTTAGAGATAACACTCTCCTCATCTAAATTTCCGGGGGTTGAACTTCTACCGGGAGGTTCACTTGTTGACTTAGAATATGCAGATGACATAGTTTTATTTGGTGAAGACGCTGACAAAATGCAGAGTCTTCTGACCACTCTAAGCAACAA